TGGCTGCGGTTATTACCAGTGTCTTGCCGCTTCCGACTGCCCAAAATGGTAGCCACGGTACATTTTCCTGTCCAGCTACATGCAGCCAAATTCTTGAGGCGTGGAACCCACTCTATCCCAATTAGGTCCCAGCCCTGGACTGGGTGGAACAGTGAAAGGAAAAGAGAGAACTTCTAGACTCAAGTGGAGTCCCAACTTACGTCAAGAAATTCCTCGAAGCAAGCATGTGGAGCACAAGCCTAAAACAAAAATCGAACTCCACACCTCGGGGTGGTCCAGTAGCACAACTGCTCCACAGTCGACTGACTGCAGCACAGACAGTCCCTAGCCCCAAGTTAACCAGTTACTCCACTTTGTCTCGTAAGCGCAATGGGCCTGTTTGAGCACCTCTAGTCTATCACAGCAACCTTGTCAGTCCGCTATGGATGATGTCTCTGCTCCACCAGCAAATGCACAAGCCAACTCAGCATGGCTCACACAAACGGTAGAGTTATGGGTAGGAAATTTAAAGCATGATTTCATGGAATCAAGGACGACAGGGAATTTAGTGGTATGGGACGAGGTGGTCAGGGACAAAGGCAGGAAAAAAGGGGAGGAAAGAATTAGAAAAGGTGTTTCATCGTGTTGAATTGTGGAGGCTTACACTCGGCAGTGCACATCAATCCGATATCCATCCTTCTCAGCCAATCAGAAGACTAGATCGATGTAGGGAGGGAGGAGGGGGTGAAGGGGAGAGGAAAAAAACCTTGGGAGGAAGGCCCGCAGTGGTGACAGGTGCACATCCAAAAAATCAGCTAGCACACGAAGATAAAGAACGCAGGATGTGGCATACGTGCGCACTAAGAGGGAGAGAGAAGGGAAGATAATAAGTCTGAAGGAAGAAACGATACGGCACAAACAACAGGGGCGGAGTTATAGCTCGGTGCTGCATTTTCTAGCGCATATGCAAGACACTGCAACTCCAACCTTCGAACTTCGAAGAGGAATATAGCTCCATGCAAAATAATTGTTAAGGCATGAGAACAACTGTGCACATATGTTCTTTCATCTGGATGTGGGATTGCTAACATCTGTGTGATGTGCACAAGATTGTAAGGGATGGATTCCGGGCGAATGGCCTGAACTGCAGGCTTACTGGCCCCATTGCTGCATAGCCAACCTCCCCCTGGACCCAGCCAATTGGGGATGGCCTCCCCAGAGCGATTCTACCCGTTTGGGCAAAAATAATGAATACCTAGTACATAAAGTAACCATGAAAGCCACGTACACGATGCTCAGACCTAGATGGCATTTGAGAGCTGTCATAACAGACCAATTGATGCGGAAATCCACCGTAGCGAGAGACATACTGAGACCGGTCAAATGGTTTAAAGCACCAGTACACCACACATCGGCCCGCGGGTGTCAGCATGAAACCTGCACCACTTCGGAAGCCGCCAATTTTTTTTTTCAACGGTGCCCCTGGCCACGTGGTGCCTCCGAGTTTTGTTTGCGGCAGGAAAAACTTTCTGCATGACTAGTCAAGATCTCATTGCTCCAATGGCATATCGCACATCACTGCGTCCCCACGAATGACTGATTAATAGACCACGCACGCCTAGGACAGAAGGGGATGGCACAGCTATGGTGCAAAAGATGTTTACTGGCCTTTCCCTTCCACAGAATCCTCGGAACCGTAGAGCACACCTTTATGCAGTGCCCGGTGGCAGTCCTAACTTGGAGATGGCGGGACCGGATGTGGCGGCAAATGATACCAGAGGTGGACTGGCCATAGGACTGGAGGGCCCTCATAGCAGGTTGATGGCCCAAATCACAAGAGAACTACTTTTTTTTTGTTATTTTTTTAATAAGCCCAGTGGCACTCTACTATGGGGAGTGGACCTGAGTGGTATGAGCACCTCCCATCAGTAGCTGCCTCAGGTTGCTCCATTCCATTGGCGGGGAGCTTCACCTGCAGGAACTGGCTCCAGCATCCTAGAACATAAAATTTGCGGAACTATGTCCAGCTACCAGGGCGTTCTGCTATCATGGTGGCTTCTTCAGCCCGAGGGCCGTATTCTTATCCATCCGCCCTAGCCACCCTTGCCTGTGACGGACAACCTCACGCCCTGCGCTACTTTCCTTCGGAGTTAGACTAAAATGCGGAGGGCTCGGGAAGTGCGTAATTGGGGGTGTGCCAACTGCTTACTGGGGGTGTGCCAAGGATTCTGGAAAGATAAGTATGACTAGTCCGTTGTAAGGACATAAGGCTTCTCGGGGTCCGGTTGGATCAAATAGGGGCCAGGATAAGTGCCTCCTTCAGGGTCCGAAAGGGCTTGTCGCAGTCTTGACTCCAAATGAACAGCTGGGACTTCGTCAGCGAATTTGTGATGGGTCCAACAATCGCCGCGAAACCCTTGATGAACCTATGATAGTCTAAGGCTAATCCGAGGAACATGCGAACTTGCATGAGTAACGTACGCATGGTGTGTCTTGAATAGCTTCGACCTTGCATGGATCACCCTTCATAAGCGGTTAACAGGTAACCCCACATTTCAGGCCCAAAGGCAGTCTTGGGATGACCTTGCATTCTCACATAAATATGATGGAATTTGTGGTGTATGTCAAACTTAATAAACAATCGTGCACATCTGGTCGCATCCAGCAACTCATCAATCCGGGAAAGGGGATACACATCTTTTACGGTAATATCATTCAATTTACGCAATTTTATGGCAACTGATGCAAAGTCGTATTCTTCCACCATTCGTTTTGAGCAATCACAACTGGGAATGACCAAGGTCCAATAACTGGCTCAATCTATCTATTAGCTTCAAACTCCTTTATTCCCTGATACGCAGCTAGCCGCTGCGTAGATGAATATCAGTATGGTTTGCAGCTAATCGGTGGACGATCTGAGTGTGAATTTCACGCTCAATAATATTAGTCACTCCGGTTTTCGTGTCAATGAGGCTTAATAGGTCTGCATCTCGGTAGCATCGCGTTCAGGCTCGGTGACCGAGCCCGAACGCTCGGTACCGGGCCCGAACGTGGCCCAAAATCGACCGAGCCCAATTTTTTTTTTTTTAAATATATATATAGACGTTGAGGGGCCCCTGGGGGCATTGCTCATCACCCCTGAACATATACACACACATACACACACACACACACACACACCACACGCACGGACACACACACCCCACACACACCCCACACACCACACACACACGAGGACGCACTCGGCAGCCCCCTGGTTTGTGCTCGACCGAACATGTTCGGTTGCTCGGTGGGGCGCCGAACATGTTTGGTGTGCTATGCAGGTCTGCATCATATGCATGCATGAGCGTTTTAGTGTTTCGTTGTATTCCAGTGGGTACATGCATTAGCAATTGAAGCAAGAATTAGTTTTCGTTTATTGACACCTTAACAAAATGGGATAAATTGATAAATGACTATTTTGGAGGACCACCGAACTACTCATTCAAATAGATAAATTTAGACAGTAGTGAGCATCTAGAACCTGGCCGGCCTGATCATCTTGGTCTCCTTTTCCTCAGAATCAATTGGGGACATAGTTATTCCCATGTCGATAAACTCAATTAGTTCACTCATAAGATTCAAAACCTCTCACATCAGTGCTTCCGTTCCGTCTTTGACCATTTCGATCATCTTTGCTTTCATGAGCAGGGGGCAAGGAAACGATGATGAGAGATCACAATACCTTGTCAACTGTTGATATCTTTCCTGTAGGGACAACGTGATGTCGTACAAGGTACAAGGGGGTTCCAAAACCTCAACCATATTATTCGATATCTTCAGACGTGGTTCCCCCGAGAAGTGAACCAGTATAACATCTGTAGCAGTGAACGTAACGAATGATGTCTTCAGTTTACTGGGAATGTAAAATGATCAAGATGCTCGTGAAATCATCGTGGAAGTTTCAACCGCCTCGTTAGTGAGCATATTTATGATTCTAGTCCACTCTGATTCATCTGGCAAATCATTTAGGATGTTAGCGTGATCATTGTCGTTGCTATCGCCGTTTTCTGCTCTAATAATCATTCCGATACAAAGCGCATTTGAGTTTTTCTTCGTGATGCCAGTGGCTTTCCACATTATCAGTCGAAGAGGAAGACTCTTAGGCTTACGCACCGTTCTAGTGAGACAATGAAAATGGACTCTTAGGCTTACGCACCGTTCCACTCTGATGCAATTGAAATGTAGCTCCCGCAGTAACCCAGAGCAATCCGAATAGACGATTGTATGTATGCCTATCCAAAACCAAAGCATTAAGTAATGCATATACACGTCCTACCTTAATAGTGACATTTTGCACCATTTTGACAACATTGATCTACTCTTCATCGGTTGTAAGAAATGTTTATCAGGGCGGGGAAGGGAGGAACTAGTGTGCATATGCAAGAATCTGACCCCAGTTTCTGGGTGCAAAGGTTCTCCCCCTCCCTGCGCAGTTAATCCCCTGGTTTCCAGGGCAATCAATGCTGGCAGGAGTGTCATGCAATTAAATCTTATTTCTGTTATTAAAAAAAAAAAAAAAAACTGTTCATCAGTTGTGACGTAATGATTCTTCTTGGGAGGGGAAAGATAGATTGATGGCAACCTAGTTTCAAGATCAATCTCATAAAAAGCGCGATCAAGATTGATCTAATGTCTATGAACGTGTTGTACGGAGAACCCCAAAGCAATCGCACTCGACACTCTTTCATGTGACCGGACTAATGTTTATGAAGTGTTCTCTTTTTCTGCATGGGAGATTGCCGCAATCCTAGCATCTCCCTGTTCGCACGGTTCCGCGACCTACTCAGGTGAAGGAGCTACGAGGAGAACCGGTTGAGGCTCTTTCGCTTCTTCCTTCCTTTTCAATGGTGGTTGTTTCCTCTGATAGGTTAATCGCTTGTGGTTCTCGAGACAACGCTGGAGCATCTTTTCGTTAGCGGCTTCAGAGATCGCCAACAGGTGTCCTACAGGCACAAGAACGTGTATGTCTTACTTCTTTAAGACTCTTAGAACATTTATCTCTCTGTCCTATCTTGGATCGAATATCAAGTCACCCAGTCACTCCCATCGTCGTTTCCTACATCTCTGTCCTCTTCAGGATAGCCCATCAGATGTGAAGCTTTTATATCCCCTCCAAGCACATCGATGGAGTTCACCATCTTGTCGCACGGGCCACAATACTTTGTTGGCTTGTAGAGCCTCAAAGCACTCCCCAACCAGTCTGGTTCTAAATCCACGCTCGATTAGCTTCGACACCACCCACTCATACTTCTCCCTCTTCAGGCTCTTCCCCCACATCTTCAGCCTCCCATGTCTATTGGCTTGCATGGTGTCCTCCTCACAAAACAAACACAGCATTGCCGAAGTCTCATCCAACTTCCACAAGTCTCCGAGACTCTTCCCTTTCCCTGCCAACTCCCCACCAACAACCTTCACAGGTGTGACTGGCCTTTCACCTACTTCTCCAACGGTCTCCTGTTGTGCCGGAGCATTCACCAATTTCACCACAGTCCTTGGATCTCCACCTGCCTCAACCTCGACTGCTGCGAACTTGCCACCTTCATGGTAGCATGGAGAGAAGTCCGTGTACTCCGAGGACAGGCTGGCTCGGGTCATCCTCCTCTTGGAAAGCATGGGTTTGGTCGGCCCGCGGCGATGGATGACCACCTAAGATTCGATGATGCCTGCGACTGCCAGTGAGCCAGCATTTGCTCCATGCACTGTGACGAACCACTTTCTGTAACGCGCGGGTTTCTGCGCGGTTGCAACGAGGGGTCCTAAGCTGGGAAGATTGGGCCAATTACGGGAAATCGGGATCGGTGAAAAATTGCATCAGTACCCTTGCTTCTTCGCCTTTTTCGTCGCTTCATCGGGGCTGGGTGTGTCCGGGGACGGCCGGCTGGGCGATTGGTCGGATGGATGTCTGGCGCGCCACCACGCGCGCGATTAATAAATGTTGACGTCGTTTCTTTCGTTTCGGGTTCGATCTTTTGGGCGCGGACATCGCGCGGGAAATTGTTTCGTTCTTTTTGAATTTCCTTTTGAATCTTTTTCGAATTTTGTCGAGCCCCGATGGCTCTTGGGATTTTGGACTTTCTTTCTGGAATGTATGCTTTTTACTTTTCCGCACTAGATAGGAATTTAGGAATTCAGTAATTAGGACTTTTTCTGTTGCACTGCGCCTTTTGTCTACGCGCTTTTTCATGTGGCTGCAACGGTACTCTGATTAGTGGGCGCCCTTAATCGTATGTGTGACTGCAATTTTGGGCGGGCGCCATTGTAACTGTATCTTTCCTCTTGCACTTCGTCTCTCCTGCTCTCCCTCTCTTTCTTTTGCTGAAATTTCTGTAAGCCGCGGCTTGCATGCTCGGATCGATGCGTGGAGAAGGGTTACGTCCCCCATGCCGCGACCGATCATGCAGAACGCAGGCGCTCCCTCCCTAATCCCCACTCTAAGTCCTGGTAATTCCGTGTTCTTCGCGCATTCATGCACGCTATAAATTTCGGCTGCGCGATTAGTCAACTCTCTTGACCTGTTGTTGGAAGCTCGGGGTTGCGCGATCAGGAAGGGTTGGCACACGAGCGAAGTAAGAGGTGAGTAGAGTAGGACTTGGGCGGCCCGACGGGCTGGTGCCGAATGCGCGGGATTGACGTGGGCCACGACGGACTGTGGGCATGGGCGAAACCGACGGGTGCGGGAGGACTAAGCGGGGTGACAACTTCGTGGGTGGGTGCGTGACGACGGACTGTCCGCATTGGAGAGAGAGAGAGAAGGAGGGAGAGTTGAGGTCGATGGACGTGGATTTGCTGTTTCTTTGTCTCTTCCCCCTCTTCATCTGTGTACATACATTTTGATTACGACTCCAGGCGGTTTGCCCGTTCTCATTTTTGTTTTCTGCTTTCGGGAATCGAGACTTGGGTTTTTGCTCACACTTGTCCTTGCTTTTGTCCATCTCGGTTGCGTGACGTGTATGATTGCTGAGTGTATGGATGTATGGATGATATGTTTGCACACCTATATCACTGTTGAGAATCTCGGTCCTTACCTTTTGTTTGTGTCGAATCTTTGCTCACACCTGATGCAGTTGTAGATGGGATAAGGATCTGGCACCGATGGTGATTTTGTCCTCGTTTTTGCTTATCTCGCGCTGGGGGTTGTGATATGGTCGCATCTTGCACAATCTGAGGCAATTAAACGATATGAGGATTGACCCCACGAACGCCGCGCGAGAACACGTGTGAACGCGATCCGAGTCATGCCCTTACACGCATTCCCGTGCGTCGATCCGCTCACCCAAAAAAATTCGAGGCGAAACCGTCATCCCGTACAAGCACGGCGCCACTAGGGCTGCCTGCCCTGCGCGTACTCGTGCGTGGTGACGACATCCCTACCGAGCTGACCCATCCACGAGGATACCATGACGCAATCTTGGAACTCAGACTCATCCTACGACCCGGACTATTTCACCCCTATGATAAACGAACTCATAAGGACGCGATACCCCTGTCACACGGAGAATCGGCTATGTCCGCGGGAATTTCACTGCGCCACCTCTAGCGACCCTCGGTGCTCTGATTTCCCTTCTCCCGACCACACCTACTACTTCGCCCACCCGGGATTTGTTGTCATCACCACCAGTTTCCCTCCTTTCCGCCTTCTTCTCCCGTACCATTAACTCAGTGTCGTCCCGTGGCCGGCGATAGCCCCCTATTGGCCCGACACGTTTTGTGTGAATTGCCGACGTAGCGGCGAACAGAGAACTCCGGAATTCCACAGGCCCAACCCAGGAACACGGCGACCCGCGCCACGTGGCGGCCCCCGACGGCCTAACGTTTCGGGAACGCCTCCACTGCGGAGGGATTTCCCCGTAACCCGTCGATCACAGTGTCCCGGCCCCTTCGGACCATGAGACCCTTGCGCGCACACCCCTCATTCGCCTAATTGCATTCATACCCTTAAGGCTCTCCCACTTTCCCAAAAATCCTTGGCACACCCCTTTTCGCATTTCCAGGCCCACATCCCACTCCGATCAGGAAGTCGCGCTGGGCTTGAGGTTGGGCGTCACAGCACTGCATCGCTCCGCACGTGATTCCACGGAAGGGCACCGGGATTTATCTGTTTAGGAGTGTGCATGGCACCTTGCTGCATCAGTGCAGGGCTTTATGGATAATTAGTAATCACTACACAATTGTGTACCATACCCAGTCCCTCGTGGCATGCCCCATGACATTGGCAGAGAAAGAGATGGTGGTGGCGACCGGCCTGCAGTCTGCCCGAGCAGGGATGAAGCTGTCATGTTGGGTGGGACGGCAGCTTACGAGCATCGACGGTCTGTGCGGGCTGAGCAAGTTCTGGCCGGACGGGTGGAGGAACTTGAATGGTGGCAAAAGTGGCAGACCTGCGGGCAATGGCGACACACGTGCACGAGTGCCACACCGTTCACTGATTGCAGAGAAGACGACGGCTTCTACCCTGGTGAGCTGGCTGGGGGGACATCTTTGACAATGGAGTCCACTGCAGACGGCGAGGGTGACGGCGAGCAACGAGTACCACGGCTGTACTCCATACCTGATGGCTGTGTGAAGAAACGAGCCACGATGCGGATGAGATGACGCTTGCAAGGCAATGTGGATGCTGGTTGCGCGCGGATATGGCTGACAATGACATCGCCTACGTGCACTGCAGGTGGCGGTGGTACGACGACGGATGCACACACGTGATTCACGCCCAAACAGAGCAGTACCGTGTGAGCATCCCCTCAACGTACTGGAAAGCAACCGGGCAATGGGACTTCACAGGCAGCACGTCATGGCCCGAAACCAGAAGTGGGGTGGCGCGGCCCTACACCTGGCAGTTCTTGAGAGTGCCACTGTCCCAAGGGGATGGTGCAACACAAGTGCGTGGAACTGTTCGCAAAAGATGGTCTCCACCGGTACCCAACCTCACCCATGTCCCACACGATGTTTGTCCGTGGACGTTCCTGTTGTGTGGAGCAAACAAAAAGAACCGCAACGGCCTCGGCCGCTTTCGGATCTCTGTAGTGAGAGCGCGGCGTCATTCACAATCGAAGTGCCACATACACAACAAGCCAGAAGGCCCTCCTATGAAAGCACCACCTCTACAGACCGCGGAAAGTTTAGTGGATCTGCGATATGAAAGAAAATTACCTAGCGTGAGTACTGTCGGATCAGTAGCTTAGCCACTGTAACATTGCTCGAATGACACCTGGCTTGCTGGATGTCCACGTACGTTCCTGACAGGGCCATTCGGGCCACTGCAAATTTTTTTTTTCTTCCCCTAACATCAGATGCGGGTCGACTATACTGGGGGTGATAAGAGCACACCCAGGGTTGGAGACCAGCTGTTGATGGCTCAAATGTCATTCACAGGGAGCAGCATAGGCTGGAAGCCGGCTCCAGCATCCCATCGAGGAAATTAGCGAGCAGCATTGTGGCAAGAGATTCTGTTTCTCTAATGGTGAGGGAGGATTGGTTACCCCTCCTATTCCTTCCCTACGTTGGAGGGGGTGGGTGAGGGTTGAGGAGCTCTGGACTGAAAATTCCTTGAATGTACAAGCGTTCTGTGGATCTATAGTTGGCCACCGTTAGTATAATTCACTAGTTTGCTTCATTTCAACGTCAATAGTTCACCAGTTCCTTACAAAAATAGTCCTGTTATTCTCAGCCGAAGACGGGTAACGGCCCCGTTATTTCAAATTGTTGTCTACATTTTCAAAGGGATGCTGGGCCCGATTCCCAGCATCTGACACTCCCCACCAATAAGAAAAAGAAAGCCATGATTACCTTTTCCACAAAGAGGGACTGACTGTCGGCGGCTGCTAGTGCTCTGTGGGGATGAAGCTGCAATCTTGCCTCTTCAGCCCTTTGTAGGGACACCAAAAGGGAAATCTAAAGCTCTACATTTTCTATGCAACCGTGAGTGAGATGTATGAGAGGGAAAGGCGAGATCAGCCGCCCCTCCTTCCCTCGCGAGAGTTGATTTCCGCTTTTGTTGGTTTGGGGTTCATTCGTGGAGACTGAGTCTCCCCTGTATTCTGTGCCCATACCCTACGAAGAACTCAATATGATCCCCTGGACTGTCATCGCCCCCTTCTGGCCACAAACTTTGTGTTCTGAGTGTAGGCGGGAGGAATACAGGCGCTTCGGGTTCATTTACAAGGTGACACGGGTGACCAGGTTCACCGCACTCGATTGAGAGCTTCTACCAAACTCTGCGAGCCGCACAGGCTACATGTGGCTGAGCTTTCTGACATAGTGTATAACCCAGAACCCTTTGGCTGCAGAAAAAGGCGGTGGCAATGCTGACTGTAGCAATCATCGGCCTTGCCATCGTTTTGTTTTGATCCCCTCTCTGTCCTTGGAGCAGCCCATATCATCACATACCTGTCCTTCTCCCTCTTACTGGTTGCTTGTCTACCAAGATCCACTGCTCCTTATTTTGACGGACCTGGCACCCGGGATCTCAGTTCCAATCTGGGGATCCCCTTCCGCTGATGTCCTTGGCACACCCCCTTTCCGCACTTTCTGGGCCTACACTCACTCTGATCAGAAAGTCGTGCTGGCCATGAGGTTGGTTGTCACAAGAGCAAACTAATATCTGCCGTCATGCGGCTCTTTCCTGACTGAGTCTCGTTTCTAATAAACTCAAAACCAAGGACAAATCCCAAAT